CTAAAGTAGAATTCAATTCCGAAAACCACTAATTGTTTAGATCTCTTGGGACGATCCCTACTTGCTTTATACTCCATCGTATAAGTGTTTAGTGGTTTTATAAATTATAAAATATGATGCCCACTTGACATTATTTCTAAACCTAAAACAATGTGCATTATTTTGTGCACATATTCAGTCGCATCAATATTTAAGCGCCCTTAATTGTATTAGTTAAGCCCATTATTTGATTTATGTATAGAGATTTAGTCCATTTTTATGTTTTTGCAGGTCTAATTGCGAAAAAGGAATAAAAATAAGGTTTTAATGGGTTTTGAAGTACACGTCATTTCGAGCTTAAATTTCAAGTAATCATCAAAAGGAGTAACCTGAAAAGGCAAAGGATGCAACCTGAGCTAAAGAAAGGAATATGTGCTAGAGTAGCTTACCTAGCATCCGGACACCAGAACTGGCATCCGGATGCCACCTTCCATAAGCTCGCATCCAGATGTAGACTATGGCGTCCGGACGCCATATCATTAGGGCCAGGCATCCGGATGCTGGTCCTCGCGTCCGGACGCGAGACCATGGGCCCCCATGTTATTTTAATTCGATTTTGTCTATCTAAAGTGGGCGATTTAAATTTTAAACGAGATTTTTGTATTTTTGAACTCACGGGAGGATAAAGAGGGGGAAAGGCTGAAGGAGATAGAGTCTTGTTTTTGTTTTTGAGAAAAGATAGGGAGATAGATGTGATACCCCCAGATTTCCGGATGCGGGTTGGCCAGGCCCACTTCCGATTACCCGAGGATATCAAAACAATTAGCAATAATTGAACACAGAATAATTATATCAAAAGAGATAAATAAAATTTGCTGAAATGAAAACTAAAAGAGTAATCCAATATTTGAAAACCTCAGAAAAATAACTCCATTGGTAAATAAGATATTTCATATACAACTGATTCACCACGAACACATATCATTCTCTAATACAACTCGGGAATCCATCTAGTGGACCCCTAAAATAACCAATTGAACTCAAAAGACGGGAAACAAAACCTAAGTCTACACACAAAATATACTCCTATGTCATCGGTGGAGTGAACAACTGTATCTGCTCAGCACGATCAAGCTCTGCAGCCTGGAACTAACGAACACCTGTAAAGAATAATAGAAGAGTGGGTCAGGCCTACGAGCAAGTTCTAATCTAACTGCAATCCATACAGTGACCCGATACGCAGATACACCGTAGATAACCCACAATATCTATCTAGTTCATACATATATATATATCCACACTATGGGACATTCACTGAACTACAATAGGGGTCTCAACCTGAATAGAAGGTAACATACGAAAACGCACCCAAAGGTGGGCATGAGTACCTAGACCTAACAGGGTACACCTCAACCTACTATAGCTAGCTACGCATCCACTACATATACGCGTCCTAACCAACGAGTCTGAGACTCAAGCTCATCTCGTGGTACCATAACCATATATTTAAAGTCCATTCAAATCCATCCATAGGAACTCCAATAAATCGTTCAGTTTATTCAGCTGCACAAACTTATATAAGGAATCCAATAAGTCGTTCAGTTTATTCAACTGCACAGACTTAAATATAAGGAGAATTATGTTTTTATAATTCGTGCCCTTCTTCCCAAAATAGGTAGGACTGAGTATTCTGAATCAGTCTGTCCCCAGTATGCCACCGTCCGATACCGGTGCATACAATCCACAAAATCCATATAACTGATAGAACATGTAAAACTATTCACCAATTAAAAATCCATAAGGCAGGAATTAGCATTTTAAGCTAAACCATACCTAGTATGCCACCGTCCCATACCGGTGCATATAATCCTCCATATCCAGGTAAATTACAGGGCATAAATAATAAGCGCGTAATTTATAGTCCAAAACCAACCATCCACATCATTGCAGAATAGTATTTAGTATTTCAACAACTTAAAACCAAAACCATATAAATTACAGACTATGAATGATAGTACAGCAATTTAAAATCCAAAACCAATATCCAATTAATTGCAGAAGATTTTTAAATGTTTCAGCAATTTAAATCCAAGCGTTAAACCATATAGTTGCAAGAAGCAATTAATAATTCAGCAACTAACATCCAGAGAATGCATAGATCACCTCTAATATACCAATGACTCTATCATGCATTTAGAATAAATTCTATAATCATATTATAGTCCAATAAATTACTAAATTAATTTAAGCAATTTAATTCCTTCCATCCGACAACAGGGTACTAAGTTGTATACTTATATTCTGTTTTATCATTTAGCCAGAGCCATGCACTATGCCCTAAGTCCAATCTATTAATTTAAAAGACTTAACTGTGCTTTTAAACTTAATTTAGAATCATTATATAACACCTTAAATTGTCACATTAAAACTAGACAATTAATTTCCTTCCAGCCGTTAACCGACGTGTAGGGGTTGAATAGCACACTATTAATTCCATTAATATAAAGAGGGTATTTTATGCCATTCAAGACCTTAATTACATCTTAGAATAATTATTGAAAACCCCCATTAATGTTTTAAAACTGTTCATGAACCCAAGTGCTCCAACAGTAAAGTTTTTACGCCTTAAAAATAAATCAAAAATGAATTTCAGAAAAGAACCTGCTCAAAGTTTCTAAGGAGCAGGCTCTTAGAGCCTTTTTTATGCGTGGAGCCGGCTCTATGGTTGGTGGGAGACGTCTCTCTCCTCCGTGAAGCCGTCTCTTTCCCCTTCTGCAAGCTTTAATCCGTTCCTGCTCTATTTCAATCCGTTCTCTTCATCTCTGGTCTATTCCTAACACTCAATTGGTATTTAAATCTGATCTTGGGAGTTTAATTAACATCCAGTAGCATCCCATTAGTTTGTTACAATATTTGAAATCAATTGCAGAGATTTAAACAAAGCCATTAAACTAAGATGATTAAATTACAATACTGAAACTAATTGGTAGGATCAGTTCTAATCCATCCCCTCTGTCCTTCATTACCCTTGAACTTAGGAGTCCTATAACATCCCATTAAAATCCCCATAGTTTGTTTACAGTAAACAAAAACAAGTACAGTACACCAAATACAATAGAACTATCATGCTTTAAAGAACGGAACTGGAAACAGTCATGCAAAAATTGTATCAGTTTTAATTTCCACACAAACATACCATTAATATAGCATACAATAATATGAAGTTCCAGTTAATGATTTGTTAAATCCTAGAGGCTACCTAGGTGCACAGAACACAAGCCAGAGGGAAGGAGGAAGATCAGAACTTGCCTCTGTAATTGTTGGTCTCCTTTCCTCTGTTCTGGCCACACTGAAATACTGCTTAGCCTCCTATTACTTCTATTCTTCCCTTCTCCTAGGTCTGACCTTGAAGCTTCAGTCGAAAAGCTCACAAACTTGCTCTGTTCTCTCAAAACCTCACTCTGTATCTCTCTGTGTTTTGATACTTGAATAGGGTTCTCCAACCCTTCCTTCAGATTATAACCGTATATATATAGGCATAGATAAAACCTAATTCTAATGATAATCTAATACAGAAAACCTAGATTAAACCCTAATCGGCCATAGGATAAAACCCACGTTGTAACCCTTGTCTGCTTCCAACTACTGGACCTCTTAATAGAAAACCTAAATAATTATTGACGTAATCCAACAAAAATTAATTAACTTATTATATTAAAATTAAAATTACTAAATTACTTCAACTAATGAAAAAAAATACCAAACACATTTAAAAAAAAAAATAAAACAATTCAAAAACACCAGAAACAATTAATGCAAGTATACCTCCATAATTAAACAATTAAACCACAATTAAATCAAATAACAAAATCAAACAATTACACACTTAAACAACTAGTCACATAAAAATGAAATAAAAAAAACCTAAAATTCCAATTTTATCCTTTTTAAAACTAGGTGTATTACAATAGAGGGGGATTTTGAGGGTTCTTTGAGGAAGCTTGCAACAATGGTGAGAGAGGGGATTCTATTCTCTTCTTTAATCCAGAGGTTATAGCCATATTCATGAGAGGCTAAATCCCTTTTCTAGGGAGTTGATGTAACCTCGACTAAGTAAACATGGTTTGATTTGTATTTCAATTTGGAGATTTTTATTGTATATATTTAGTTTCATAAATTAGACGTATTTTCATTGACTTGATGTTCTTTACATTAAATTGATGCATGTGTTTATCATATGAATATATATTTGTGTTGATTTATTATCTTGTCTTAGAAATCATATTGATACAAGTATTACACTTGATTTCCTATAGTGACAATGGGAAAGAATTTATGGAATGGTTATATTGGCATGAAGTTGAGCATTTATATAGGTTATACCTAAGAAAGATGTACCATACTACACTCTTAGATTAATGTAGTTAGGTAGATGGTCCATACTAACTAAAGATAATCTATGATATTTAATTGATTTCATGTACTGCAACATACTATTGAAGGACCTTGATAGGCCATGCCTAGGGAAGATGGTTCATACCACAATCTAGTTTTGGTGAATAAACCATGCTAACCAAAGATGGGTTATGCTTAGTCTTGAATGTATGATCCTCTTGACGATGTTGTGATAGTTTTATGCTCCTACACGTCATTTGATATATATAATTATCAATCCCCAAGTTTAGTGCAAGTTTAACAAGTTTATGAGGTTGAGGTGAAGTCAATTCCCTAGCCTTCTCTTTATAAGTTCAATCCATCATATTCACATTATTTACTGTTTTCTGAAAGTTAAATTCGTAGGTTAAGTGACAAACCAATCGATTTATCATTTCTTTTATCAAATAGAGGAAGTAATTGTATAATTCTGTTTGTCATAAACTAGCAATCCTTGTGGTTCGACAATCCCCTACTCTAGCATTAATCTGCAATGATGAATGTGTTATTGTTATAAGTGGTATTTTTAAGTGATACACATTTGTGCGCATCAGTAGTGGAGGTGGTGTTGGTGGAGGGCACTAGCGATGGCAGTGGTGGAAGTCGATAGTGGTGGTAGTGGAGGTGGTGGTGGTGGTGACAACAATGATGATGTGGTGGTAGTGGAAGGCGGTGACAGTGGTGGAGATGGAAGGTAGTGGCCTGACAATGATGGATTTTGGACGTAGATAATGAGGATTTTTTGGGAACTTGATTTTTTTAAGACAAAATAATTTTTGGAAATAAAATGGCCATTTCATGGTTAGGTTTAGTTGTGAAATAAATTTTTTTTTAAAAGAAATGATGATTCCCACCAAGACAACAACACAAGTATAACAGGTATGCTCTCAATATAACACAACGCTATTACAAATATGTAACACTGAATCATACTCAACAATTTACATATACCATAAGGCATAAGGCATATAACATGTAGTGGCAAAACCATCAACTAACATGCTTGTGCAAATAGCAACTTAAGGTCCTAAATGCTTCATCAAAATGTATTATATCAAGCTAAACATACTCATACTTATCACATAGCATACACATAAACATAACAATTAGTATGCTCCAAAGAAAATATGCGCACCTAACAATGCATAAAACTCGAAATGAGAAGTACATTACCCCTCAAACATCCTATATTAACTGTCTAAGTCGAAGACACAATGTAATACCCCTAATTTTAAAAAGGATATCCCGGGGATTTTAATTTAGTAGTTAATTGCATTTTATTTGATTATGTGTGATTAGTTGAATTAATTTGATTATTTAATTGTTTAAGTGTTGTAATTAGTAAATTGATTATTTAATTGTTTAATTGTTTTAATTAGTAAATTGATTTAATTATTTTAATTTAATTGAGTTAATTGTTTTGATTTAGTTTATTTAATTATAGTTAATTATTTAAGTGGTAAATTTATTTGTTTTGTTTAATTTGGTTTTCACGGGACTGTATGGGACACATATAGTTATATTAGGGTTTCATTTTATAGCCGGCAATGTATATATCATAGGTCGGTTTATGGGCAAAGAAGGGCTCTGTCTCTATTAAACAAGGATTAGGGTTTGGGATTTGTATGCCTATATATATATATAAATGCTTCTTGGTATTAAGGATTGGAAAAAAAAAAAAAGACTACTCGCGTAACATAAAAACAGAGAGATACAGAGTGAGGTTTTGAGAGAACAGCTTTTGTTTGGTGTGGGATTCGACGGGGATTTCAGGGTTGGACCTAGGAGAAGGGAAGGGTAGAGGTATTAGGAAGCTAGACAGTGTTGCAGTGGTAACCAGACGTTGGGAAGACGGCGACAAGTTTTGAGTCCAAAACTTCAGGCAAGTTCTTTTCTTCCTCTTTCCCGTTGGCCTGTGTTCTGTGCACCTAGACATACTCTAGGGTTTTAATGGATCAATAATTGAATTAAGCATGTTTTTATATATCAATTTAACCTTATCTTTGCCATGAATAAATTCGGTGATGGGTTTTGAAAGTTCATTACAGTAGTTGTTTTTCCTAAGCATGATTTGTCTATGGAACTTGTAGTTTTTGTTTTTGATTTCAACTGTTGTAAACACTGCATAGGGTTTATACTGGACATAGTAAGGACCCTTGGGAACAGTCTAAAACTAAATAGAACGGGTGGGAAGCGGCCGGCATTGAAGAAGAAGGTCGCAGAAGTCACAGACGGACAGACGGCTCTCAGAGAGGGAGAGAGCTGGCTCCATGGAGGAGGGAGCCGGCTCCCCCCTAGTGTAGAGCCGGCTCTAGGAGGTGTAGAGCCGGCTCTACCCAAGTAGAGCAGGCTACAATAAAAATTGGAGCCGGCTCCACCTTTGTTCATAACCTGGTCTCGCTCAGTTTGCTTCCGGAAGGTGTTTAATGCACTGTTTGAAGCTGTTGTGTGTTTGAACCGTTAAAAAAAAAAATATTGGGACTTGCCATAGTGATTAAGAAGTTAACTTTGGGTATTAATAGAACTTTTAATTGATTAAAGTTTACCTCTAAATTAACGGAACAAACTGTATAAAATTTATGCACATTGTACACGATTAAGGGATGGAAGAAGACTTAATTGCTAAAGCTTATTTTTGAGCATTCTAGTGGGATCTAATATGTTTATAAATTGTTCTAAATACTTTATAGGGTCATTGATGTATTGAAGTTGACCTATGCATGCTTTGGAGGCTAATTGTCGAAATAGTAAATACTTCTGCAATGATATGAATTATCGTTTGGATTTTTAATTGCTAGAACATCAAATATCTTCCTACAATTATTTGGATAATGTTTTGGAATGTAAATTACTAAATTATGATTTCTATATTGTAATTGGCATTGATATGGTGGATTATATGCACCGGTATGGGACGGTGGCATACTAGGGATGGTTTAGCTTCAAAACGCTAAGACCTAACCTAATGGATTAATGGAATGGATTGTAAGATATCGAATCCTAATTGTGACTAAGTCAGGTCAGCTGTAACCAAGTTGGATGACTTCCTGGATTAACGGATGGTAGTTAAGCCATATCAACTAAGTAAGTTGAGTGACTAACTAGTTGGTTTATTGTAAGTCAGTTTAATAAATAGTTGAACTGCTTACCCTGGATTTGGACGGACTTTATATATGTGTTTATGGTACCACGAGTTGAGCTTGAGTCTCAGACTCGTTGGTTAGGTTACGTATATGCTGTGGATGCGTAGCTGGTTATAATAGATTGAGGTGTACCCTGTTAGGTCTAGGTACTCATGCCCACCTTTGGGTGCGTATTCGCATGTTGCCTTCTATTCAGGTTGAGACCCCTATTATAGACTAGCGAATGTCCCTTAGTATGGATATATTTATACGTATGGACTAGATAGATATTGTGAGGTGTCTACGGTGTATCTGCGTATCGGGTCACTGTATGGATTGCAGTTAGATTAGAACTTGGTCGTGGGTCTGACCCACTCCTTTATTATTCTTTTCAGGTACAGGACGGTTCCAGCCTTAGAGCTTGATCGTGCTTGTCGAGGACAGTCTCACTTTCATCGGATTACCTAGGACTTCCCCAGATGTTTCTAGTATTATCTATTTTCAATCTCAGTTTCAGTTGAATTATTAGTTAGGGGTCCATCAGTGGATTCCCAAGTTGTAACTTTGAAGTTTTGGAGGATTGGAGTTTTAAATTTTCAGTTACACATGGAGAATTTTACTATTATTATTTCTTTCAGTTTTATTCTATCTTTATTAGTTTTGTCATCTGTGTTCGTTTTAAAATACTTTAATTGTTTGATATTCCCTCGGGTTTGGGCCTGGGCCTGATCAACCCGTGTCTCTGATCCAAGGGGTATCACAGTTGGTATCAGAGCACTCCAGGTTCAAGTGTCTCTAGGACGTTTCGTATTAAGACTTCCGCGTAGCGTTTTTTTTTTTATAGAGCTCATGTTTAGGATTCGCTGAATTCTTTTACGGTTCATTTAAACTCATACTGATGTCTGTCTTTCTATGTTAACAGCATGGTTAACACTGGAAGAGGACAGAACATGAACAGTCGATAGAGGAGAGTGGCACGTAGACAGCAGGAACGTCTACAACGTCGACAAATGGAAGAAGCGCAGCAATTGCCAGGGTTTCAGGAGGAGCAGGAGGAAGTTCAACAGACTCAGGGTCGGGACAGAGATCCAGAGATTCCTCCACACCTCAATGACCTTGTTGCTCGGGCTATAGAGGCTGGGGTAACAGCTGCACTCCGGAACCAACCACAGGTTCAGCAGGCACCTGTACCAGCACCAGTGGTTCAGACGGATTCTTGGGGAAAGGCTAGGAGCTCTTTCACCAAAGGGAGTCCACCTGTGTTCTCAGGCTCCACCGATGCGAGAGCAGCTCACCAGTGGAAGCAGGACATTGAGCGTCATCTTCGTTTAGTTCAGTGCACGGAGGTTCAGAAGCAGATGCTCGCTACTTTCAAGTTAGTTGGGGATGCACTACAGTGGTGGGAGTGAGTTACCACCCCAGAGGAGAGGATGACATTGACTTATGATGAGTTCAGTGCTCGCTTTGAGGAGAAATATTTTCCCTATGCAGTCAGGGCAGCTATGAAGACCGAGTTTCTAAATCTGCAGCAGGGAAACATGACTGTGGCGGAGTATGAGCAGCAATTCACACGCTTGTCTCTCTTTGCACCGGAGGAGGTGGATACAGAGGAGAAGAAGCGTAACAGTTTCGTCAAGGGACTGATGTGGTCTATCAAGAGAGCTATTACAGGTAGTCCAGCCTATACTACCTATGCTCAGGTGGTAGACGCCGCTCTACAACAGTATCAGTTGACTGTGGACATCAGACAGGCTCGTGGTGAGAAGCGGGGAGATAAAGACTCTACTAATCAGTCAGCTGAAAGGGGAATGGCAATGGTCACCGGCAGAATGACAAAGGCAAGTTCCAAGGACAACAGCCTTGGAAGAAGCACAAGGGTGGTTCAGATGCTCACCGGAATGGGGCACCTATTCAGAGGCAACAGAATAGAGGACCACAGGCAGGACAGGGTCAGCCACAGGCAAACCGGCAGAGGAGGCCATTTGGTACTTTCCAGGGTAGTTGTTACACTTGTGGAGAGTATGGTCATACCACTAGGCAGTGTCCTAAGGCAGGACAGGGACAGGGACAGTATGTGCAGCAGGGACAGAGGGCGCTAGTGCCTCTACCAGCTCCACAGGTTCCACGGATTCAGGGACAGACACATCTGGCGTTACCGGCACCGCCGCAAACTCAGGGACAGGCACCACAGCAGTTGCATTATGGTAAGGTGTATAACCCCACGCCACGGGATGTTCAGGCACCTCAGACTATTGAGGGTAAGTTTCCTATTCATGGTTTACATGGACGTGTTTTATTTGATACGGGTGCTACACACTCATTTGTAGCTAGGACTTTTGTTGCTTTATCTGGGATGAGGACGAGGATATGCACTAGACCTCAGGGTATTTCTACACCATTGGGTGATACAGCTATTATACATGAGAGTGATGGGCCTGTGACACTAAATATTGGCAGACTCAGATTTCTAGCTAATCTACTGGTCCTGGACATGCACACTTATGATGTGATACTTGGGATGGATTGGTTGTCTCACTACCATGCCCAAGTTGATTATTTTGATAGATCTATT